GGAGCTAAACCTGCCAACCCTCGGGGAGCAGCAGTGGGGCTGCTCTGGGGAGTCCATGGTGCGCTCTGTCTCTCAGGCCAGCGCTGTGTCGCTGTGACCCACATTCACTGAGTGCCCCACTCCCCCCTGCCACTCGCTTGGGCCCTCACTGGACATCATAGAACGTGGCTCCCATCATCTCCCCGTGAGAGCCATTCGCCTGGTCAGCAGGGGGCACTGCAGACCCATCCCCTGAGTCATTTCAAGCCAGCCCTGGGAAAGCCCTGCACTGACCGGGGACAGGGCCGGGTCGGGAGGGGCAGGACGCGCTGTCCCCAGTCGTTCGTTCCCAGCTCTGATTTCCGGGGGGCGAATGCTGCTCTGGGAGACGCTCCCGCAGCTGTGCCCAGACCACACTGGGGCTGCGGAGCCTGTTTGGGTCATTGGCTGGGGCTGTCTCAGGATGCCCAGCTGTGACCGAGGGTAGAATGGGGCTCTGTGATGCCAGGACTGGCCATGACAGAGACCTGAGCTGTTCCACAGACGCCGATCTAAGGGATACGGGCCCCAGGCCTGATGCCTGACGCTCACCCCCTTCCTGAATCACTCTCCCCCAGGCAGGGGTCTCCCACCCCCGGCTTCACCAGCCCCAAGGGCCCTGTCTGCCTGGTGGTGCTGAAATCCCTGTTATCTTTGAACCGTCCCCGAGGACAGGTAAATATTTGAGGGTAAACCAGCAAGGGGCAGTGACCTGGGGCCAGATCTCTGCATCCCTGGAGCTGACACCAAGCCAGGGCAAGCAGGCTGCAGCCTCACTGTGTAGGTGTCTGCAGTGCCGGTATCTGTGCTTGGGTGTGACAGACCAGCCCTCTCCCTTCCCCCTCTTCCCAAATCCAGAGCTCCCTTGTGAGTCTCCCTGCAGGACCCAGCCAGTCCCAATGATCCTATATTCAGTGTGGATGGAAGAGACCAGGGCTGGAGCGTTCTCAGTGCAGATGCAATGTACAGAGATTTTGGCAGCAAATATTCATAGCGTAATAGATTCCAAGGACAGAAGGGACCATTGTGATCATCTAGTCTGACCTCCTGCATAACCCAGGCCTGAGAACTCCCCCAAAATAATTCCTAGACCAGATCTTATAGGAAAACATCCAACCTTGATTTCAAAATTGCCAGTGATGGAGAATTCATCACAACACTGGGTAAATTGTTCCACTGGTTAATTACCCTCCATGTGAAAAATGTTCATCATATTTCCAGTCTCAATTTGTCTAGCTTCAACTTCCAGCCATTTGATCGTATTATGCCTTTCTCAGCTAAATTAAAGAGTCTCTTATCCTAGGGGAATTCTGCACCAAAACACCCAAAATTCTGCATCAAAACATTCGGCATATTTTTTGTCAAAATAATGCAATATAATCACACCAGTTTCACTTATTTTGGTTATTTATTTAAACTACCATACAGAAAAAAACCCCAAAAGAACTGTTCAGCATTTCCTAAACACATGGAAGTTAAGTTACAAATACTTGGTAACCAAGACTCTGCATTCCAGTTGTAATCCTGGATTTTCATTTGAATTATATGACTTTTATTTTGGTGTTTGGTGTTCTGGCGAGGCGGCCAGCCAGCACAAGTGCTCAGATGGCAGAGCAAGCAAGGTGCCTTCTTCCTGGGGTGGGAGGTGAACTCACACAGCTGCACCTCTGAACCCTGGGTCCTCACTGACCCGGACAACCACTGTGAGTGGGGTGGGGTGAGGGAGCAGAGAGGGGCACAGAACAGGAGCTGTGGCTGTAGAACTCAGGAACATGAGGCAGAAGGCAGAAGACTCGGCCCCAGGCACTCTGGGGTCGGCGTCCTGCTCACAGTTCTATGTCTATGAATCCTGCTTGTGGCATTTCCCCTAATTATTGTCAGGTGACTTCATTCATTAAACGTTTCCTTTCTACACTCAGACTCTGTGCTTGCGAGTGGGGCAGTATTGCCTCCCATAAGCACCTAGGGGTGTGGTGTAATTTCCCCAGGTTACTGGGTGGGGGCTCGAGCCGGTTCTGTATTGTTTTGTTGAAAAGGAACCTCTAGATATTGAACCCGGCCCTGGTTCCTGCCGGCCCCACCTGGCAGAGGGGTTACAAACTCATTTCTCAGCAAGCTCCTCCCCCCTGCTCCTGCCAGGGCTTTCCCAGCATCCCGGCTACTGCACCACCACCAACCCCAGAGGGGTCCCACCCCCTGCCATGTAACCAATGCGAGGGGCCAGAGCCTCGAATCCAGTAGCTGGGGGTGGTGGGTAAATATTGTCCTGGCTGCGTCCCCAGCCCCAGCCAGAGACCTGACACGGCCCTTGTTTACCCCGGATCAAAGCGAAGCTCCGGCTCCGGAGTCTGTATCAGGGCAGAGCAGGCTGGTCTCCAGCACAGAGCGTGGGGGG